GGGTAAAATCAAAAGACTGCTTTTCTCTCTTCATTTCTTTAAAATACATATAATGGATTAAAGCAAAAATTATAACACTATCTTATGGAGCTTATAATATATTCAGATGTCTGATATTCTAGGATAGCTGTAGCATAAGACACTCTAGGGGAAGTGGATAAATGGGCCTACACAGTTGCAAGTTTTCTGCATTTTACGTAAAGTGATATAATATTAACTCCAAGTAGACCTGAAAAATTAAAATTGTACATAGCAACTCTTAAAGCAATCTCTAAAAAATAATTAAAAGACGTATAATTAAAATAATTTTAAAAACCAATAAGTAGAATAAAATGGAATTCTATAAAATATTCAAATAATCTAAAAGAAAGCAGGGAATGTGGATGTAGCCTGGTCCGACTGTGTCCGTCCAACCAAGGGTGCGCAGCGGAGCGGAGGGGACATCACTGCTGGTGGCTCAGTGGCTGCTTCTGTGCACCAGGGCAGAGGAAACAGCTCAAGCAGGTGTTTGGCAGAGATGGCTTTCCCAGATCACTGCTACCTGCAAGTGGTTGGTAGATCCCAGAGCAAGCCTTCGAGAAGGAAGTAGGTGGGACAACATGAACCAGCCAAAAGAACCACCAGTGGGGCTAAACTGAGGCAAAGCAAATCCCACCAAGTCCCACGGGCAGACGTGGAGGCTCAGGACACAGCAGGGGCCTTGTGGGGTGATGTGTGCTGTGACACTAGCCTTCAAGCTCTTGAAGATGATACCTTCCCTGACTGTTACATAGAATGCATAATAAGAGGGGAGTTTTCTCAACCCATCCTGGAAGAGGAATCACTTTTTAAGTCCTTTGAATACCTGACAGAAGGATCAGAAGACGAGCTTTCTCAACAGGTTCTGGAAGCAAGCTCCTATCTGCAATGTTCTTTGGAGTACATGAAACTAGGGCCAAAACAAAAGCTTCCCCAAACAGGTGGGTGGAGAAAATTCACTTCCTAAGTATTCTGAGTATGTGACAGGCAAGAAGGTCCCCCCTGGAGGAATTCCTGGCCTTGACTTAGCAGATCCTAAGCAGCTCGCAGAATTCACTAAAAAGAAGCCCCCAAGAATAAAAAATGTGATTCTCCGCAGGCCATTGCTTGTCCTCAGAGTGGGTGCACTCGAAGGTTGAGGAACAAAGCTGCCTTGAGAAAGCACCTCCTGGTCCATGGGCCCCAAGACCACGTGTGTACGGAGTGTGGGAAGGCGTTTGCAGAGAGTTCCAAGCTCAAGAGACACTTTCTGGTTCATACTGGAGAGAAGCCTTTCCAGTACACCTTTGAAGGGTGTGGCAAGTGATTTTCTTTGGATTTCAACTTGTGCACGCATGTCTGCATCCACACTGGGGAGAAACGTTTTGCGTGTCCCTTTGAGGGCTGCAGCAAAAAGTTTGTCCAGTCCAATAACCTCAAAGCTCACATCTTAACTCATGCAAAGAATGAGAAGCAATGAAGGACTAGAGAGAACAGAGCCTTCCAGTGAGACGGAATATTGACAGAAGAGTGATCAGTAACAAATACTCCTCACTGATGGCTGTTTTTAAATCAATATTGTAACCCTATGAAGCATATTTTTAGCATTCATAAAGGGCTTTTATACTTTGAGATAAGTTTTAAGAACATGGTGTGGCTCGGCGCCTATAGCTCAACCGGCTAAGGCGCCAGCCACGTACACCTAAGGTGGTGGGTTCGAATCCCCAGCCTGGACCCGCCAAACA